AAGCTGAAAATGTAGTAGTAACTAAATCTTACGATCCCATTGTATCTGTTGTTTTAATTTATATAATATTAGATGAGTTGATCCATCCAGCCATCCATTTTCATCCACTTATCCGTTACTGGGTCGCAGGGGCAGCAGTCTCCTTGACCGACACCCAAATCACACTGCACCGTACCAAGCCCCCAAACCTTTCTGCGGGTGGTGAGTCCACTGGAAGGTACCACCCGCCCTGAGACATTGCCTCTGGGCCAAAGCGCAACTAGATAAGTTGATGCTTGAGTCAAATATGATCTGGCAGGAACACAACAGAAAGAGGACAGAGAATCACATGTCAGTCTTTAGGCTGCAGAGCTCTGGTGACGACCTTAGCTTAAGGAACATGTCTGACTGTTGACGATGCGGATGATGAATCGCTAAACGCTAACGCAGCACCCGCTCCTCATTTCCTTCTTTCTAAACATACGGCGTTTTAACTCATGTAAACAACACACTGTGCCCTTCAGTACAACCTGATTGTCTTTGTAGACAGAGATTACCAGTAGAGAGCCTGTGTGAGAAAAATCAACAAAGCAACCTGGGTATTACTTACTGTAGCGCCTCAGCCATAATTGGACATCATCCAGTATAAACATATGGGACTGGCTTTTTATCCTAATCACCACATAGAGTATGTTGTAGTGGCATAAGCAGTATATTAATGTCGACCCCGTGTTTTACTGTTTCGGGAATCAATCTGATTGGCTCTTTGATTTCTGAGGTTAATATTAAAATCTATTAATTTTACTACCTCCGTCTGCTCTGCAACGATGATGTTGTTGGGATTTTCCAGTCTGATGTAGGCGTCTCCCTTAGAGTGATATGTGTTGACATTAGCTGAGTGACTGAATCATCTGGTTGACAGACTTCGCTATCAATCACCTGTAGTGACAAAGGATTTTAAATTAGCTCCATGGACTAAAAAGACTATTGCAGGTGACATGTTTTCTCTTTTTCATTTTATACATTTTATTATTTTGATTGGAAAAAATGACTTCTATTGTCTGTGTATTAATCTGTGTTTTTGACATTTTTTCTTCTCAAAATATCATCACAAGTACTTTCCAACATGAACTGGTTTCCTGTGGTGCAGTTATGTACATATTGGACTTATTTGTTTTTGCAGGAAGTTACACATCTGTAGTTACATTAAGTCAATTCCAACCTAAGCTGTTCAGCCCAGAAGGATGTAGAACCTCTGTGTTAGGAAAATTATTGATTTTATGTTTATCTAAAATGAATGAAAACAAAAAAGCGTAGTTAAATGTTACTACAAATACATACCACAACTTGTAGGTACTAGTATACATTTTGTTTTTTGTTAACATAATTTTTATTTTAAATTTAATGGGACTATGGTGTATATATATACAGTATGTATATATATATATATATACTGAAAAAGGTGATGTTTTGGTTAATGTCTAGATAGTTGCTGAATAGTAATTTTTTTTTTCATCACAGTTTTAATTAAAGCTCTTTTTATGACTGTTCAGATCATTAAATGGACATTTTTATCCTCCGCTAAATTCTTCTTATCACTAATGAATAGAAAAGCTTGACATGGTGGACTATTTTTACCTGTGAAAACTGCCTTGGCTGCTCAGCCAACACTGACCTTTTTCACAATACATTTCCATAGATGTCTCTATAATATGCTAATGTGTTGGTCACGGGTACAGGAAGTTTCAGTGAGGCAGGAACGTTGCAACAGGATGTGGTCAGGTGTTGATGTATGCAGGAAGGTGAATTTGAAACAGACCAGCAGAGAGCGTTGTGACGAATCGTTTCATTTACAGTACGGTTTGTTCTTTGGAACATTTAGAGCAACAGAGAATTTTGAATAATTTGAAATTGAATTTTATTTTTTCGTAATCATGTGTTGAAGTGATAAATTGTCCAGCGTGGACGTTTGATCTATGGTGACTCACACCAGACTTGAGCTACGTCATAGTCAGGGACATGAAGTATACAGTCGCACTAAAGTAAACCCAACGCAACAGGTTGTTGTAACACATTTACAACATCAGGTGCCTTGTTGGCTGCCTTCTGGCTACAAGGTTGGTCAAAAAGTTCAAAAACGTGGAAACAAAAAAACTTTTTTGAGCCTTGATTCAAGTCTAATTACTTTTGCATACAATGTTTCCTTTGTGCAATGTCTCCTCTAAAGAATTCTTAAGGAATTTCCATCAGTAGACAGAAAGAAATCTGATGGAGCAAAACATGCTGCAACGCTTCACTGGTTTAAACAGCTTTGCGATGCCATGCAAAATGACTTGGAGGGTCGCATTTGGCCCGCGGGCCTTGAGTTTGACACATGTGGTCTAAGAGTTGAGTCCCTAAGAGAACGAGGGATGTGATCTTTTTTTGGCCTTCCAGATGTCCACCAGTGGTTTTCATCCTGACTAAAGAGTCAATAAGAACGAGGTTTGAAATACTCAGGATGGATATTCGGCGGGGCCCACAAATTAGATCAGCACTCATCACCATGAGTCATGAGGCCTGAACCGACTGCTCTCTTTTCCCTCCTCTGTTGAGACTTGTAATCATCCTCCTTTTCCTCCTCTCGTGCCTCCCTAACTCGTAATAAAAAAAGCTCTTTCGTGCGGGGTGTGAGTCACAGTTGTGACGATAGACATGTTACACTTTTGTTTGCACTGCGGTTAAGTGGTTACCTGGTGATAGGTTGGATTTATTGTTGTATTGTCACACTTACGACAAAAACAAAACAAAAAAAATCAAAAACAGATGTATTCCCGAGTCAAGAAATTTGAGCCATATCTAGTTGTTTACTTACAGGGTTGTAAATTCCTGCGGGGAAAAAAAAAAACAAAAAAAACAAACAAACCGGGAACTAATTCAGACAGAATGCGTGGGAGCAGAGTTATAATCTGAGGAAATACTTGCAGTGCATGTGTGACAAAAATCTATGATTTACAGACAAAGTCTTGTTTATTGTCTTGTTCAACAACAACAGCAGCAGCAGCAACATTCATAATAATAATATTAATATTAATTGATGTGTAAACAGTGAATGTGCACACAGGTCAGCCTGGACTGGGTGCTAGTTTAAGCCTCATAACTCCAGACATTTGCCATTTGTATAAATTGATAAAATGCCGTATTGTTCTTTTAGTTTCAAACCTCACTTCTTTACTGGAGATGTAATTTGGCTGCAGCTTTTTTCATTGCAGGGAAAAAAAACTGCAGCCTTTAGGCTAGATCTTTATTTCAGTGCCGGGCTGTTTCTACATGTGTCAGCATTCTTGGTGAAACACTTTGGCTTTTGCATATGAAAGCACAACATTTGATTGCAAATTAGGTTTGCGTGCCTGGGCATTGCCTTGTAACCCATTTAAGGAACATTTCTGGCATTGTTTCTGCATATTTTAGGACCAAAACCTGGTCTCAATGAGGCAGAAACTCATTTCCGGGACTCGGGTTAAAGTGAAGATGAGGATGTGATTTGCAGTTGGAGGTTTATTTTTCTCGGGCTTTCGAGCAAGAAATAGTCTTGCGATTAATGATATATTGTAACTGTTTTTACTTAATGTACACAAACAAACCACTTCTACAGAGTAAGCTCGATTAAGACGGTCTGTGAAATGACTCACATTTTAATCAGTCCTGGAGAAATAAGTGATTTTTCCGACCACTGTTTTTGGACTTTGATAAATGTGTACGAGGAACACACTGTCAGTGTTTAGAAAAATATAACTTGACATTTCATAGGGCCCTTCGTGGTGACAAGGATATTTTTCTTCTTGTCTCAAGTTGATTTATTAACCTTCGGCCCTTTTTGTTTTCCCTCATTAAAGCAAAATATGCCATTGTTTTGTCATCTTCTGTGACCTTTGGTCACCACCTGTGACCTTCTGTGGCTGTTGGGAGAGGGAAACCTTTAAAATATATTCAGGGTATGTGTAGATTTGTAATTCATGTGAACTTTACATTGTTTTAGGAAAAAAGAAATGTTGTTTTATTAACCTTCCATCTATAGAATTTCTGAAATACATTCCACAAAGATAAGAATCCATCTGTACGCCTTACTTATTTTTGCGTTTTTTTAACTTGCTTAATCATGAAAGTGACTGGGCATGGGTTGTACTACAGGTTGTAGCCTAGAGCTCCCTCTGCTGGAGGTGGTCATACTGTGACCCTTTGGGGGGACAAAACATCAATGAACAAATTATTAAAAAATAATATGTTCTAACGTCGTTACCTCACACATGGACAAATATTTAGTGCTTGAAACCAATTGATTTTAACCAGCACTGCAACTTTTGAATGACTTTTTAATATTATATTGAACTGTTTGTGTTTGTTTGGGTGTTTTATATAATAATTTTTATTCATTTTCATCAAACTCAGTTTGGTTCAGGGGCCCCAAGTCGGCTGGATCAGTAAAATCATAACATAATAACATTGCATTAATTATAATAAGTATATGTTTTCAAATATATGGGAAAATATTCACATTCAATGAAATGTCTTTTGACAAAACACCACGGACATGACATGTCTGAGGATGTATTTCTTACAAAATTCATCATGCGGGCCCAAATGAACGTCCTAGCGGACCGGTTTTGGTCCCCGGGCCGTATGTTTGACGCCCCTGATCTATATATTTGTGTGTGAGTGAAATAGATGTTAGGGATCAGGAGGAGAGACTCTCTCATGTAGGTCACCATAATTGCTAGAACCGACTGTGCTTTTACACGCACACACTTTTAGTCACTCACAAACACATACACACACACACCCGCGCACGCAACTCATTGTTCAATCCACGCAGAAGGAATTTTCGCTCGTCTTGCATCGACCGTGCTCTTCACTCCACAAGTGGAAAGTCGTGTTCTTCAGTCTCATACTGTGTCACATCGTGAGAAAGACGGAGATCATACGTCGATTAACGATAAACCAATCTCTACATACATGTTTTATTGTCTTTGTTGTCGATTAACGATAAACCAATCTCTACATCCATGTTTTATTGTCTTTGTTGTTGTTTACATGTCTAACACCACGAGCATCGCGCGTGTCCGCAGCACCTGCTCACTAACAGGGGGTTGGACCCGCGGAGAGAGAGGCGTGAACGGCTGGCTGCAGTCACAGCCGCAGACGTCGCTCGCTGAAGCGCGCAATCACCGGCGTCGATCAGTCAACGCAAATAAATCAAACACACGGTGACCGACAGATTTCGGCTTTTTTAAGACGCGAAAACAAGACATCGTGTCAGGTTTGAGAGGAGTGGAGACGCTGCGTAACGCCGCCACGCGACAACGAGGGGACGTGCGTTTGGCACCGCAGATATACAGCAAACTTCAGAGACCGAAGGCGTTTAGGACGATACTTTCACGTGTTGTAAGAGGAGGACATGTCTCCGTTTTCTTATTTATCTTTGTTAAAGTAAATCATTGTGAGTTTTTGCGCGGCCGCCCTCTGTCCGCTGCGCTCTCTTCCCAACCGTGCCAATGCTGGAATGGCTGGTGGCTCTGTGCGTTGTGATCCCAGTGGTGTTGATGTGGATCGGTTCCAGGTACCTTGGTACCAAGAGTCCACTCGCGCTGCTCCAGAGATTGTGGACTCCACGGGCAGCCGAGCACCAGAGCGAGAGAACTCGCACCGTGGAACTGATCTGCAAACCGTCCGCTCTGGCCAACTATCTCCTCAAACACTGCAGGACTTTCACCAATTACTCGCCCTGTGTCGGTTGGACCTGGAGGGCCAGTGCGTTCCTGCAGAGTGTGTACGAGACGTGCTGGCCTTACGAAAGTCCGGTCCAGTTCGTGCGGGACAACCTGCAGCTGAGCGACGACGGGCTGGTGGCCTTGGACTGGGCGGTGCCATCCTACCAGAAACGACGCAGGACTTCCAGTCACTCCACCAGTCCGGTGCTGCTCATCATCCCAAACTCATTTGGCAAAATCACCAGGAATGTGTTAAAGGTAATGCAACTGTTAAGCAATTAGACAAGGCTGTACTGTACAATCAATTAGTCAACTAATCCATTAATCAACCACAACTCCATGAACAGGCTGTTTATTTCAGTGGAATTGTGGCTGCAGATTGAATATTGCTTCTCTGTCTATTCTGGGGGAAATGTGTACAACTAAAAAACAACGATGTCATCAAAAAACTCTGCTCAACTTTTCTTAAGGTACATTTTTACCCAGAGGGCACTGCTTCTGCAGCAGGGCATTCTAGTTCATACACAAAACAAACACAATTTACGTGGACTCATCAATGCAACTTTGGGGGGGGAAAAACAGGCTCTGGGCTTAAGGTACAAAGTCATGACTATACAGTAAGTACTGTTGATGTTACTGGGGAGTACTCTGGAAACTGGACAAAAACTATAGATGTGGTTTAAAAATCATACTTTTATTATCTATTTTTTTATAATTTGCAAAAAATACACACTGTCAGTCAACAGTGTACTCAGATATGTTGTGTTCAATGACCAAAGACATCCTTGTTCAATGTATTTTTTTCTTTCACCAACAAAAAAATCCAGGAAATCTGATTAAATTTGCTTTGATGGAATACGATAGAACAGCACACCACAGCAGTGCAGTGTAAATCAGTTGCAGTTGAAAAAAGCCACAGTTCTGAGGAGGAAAAAAACAAACTGCAATCTCACTGAGTCAACAATTATTTAACAATTAACCATTATTGTAAACAACCTCAGTAGCTGATGTACCATGATGTCTTGTTATTGGATTTGTAAAAAAAATTCTAACTGAGTTATTTCTTTGACTTTCACCCGGGAGCGAAAACCAATCTTCCGTCATGACATTTATTATCTCGTTTGACCAGCCCTGTCCTCACCATGATGGACTCACCACGTAATCCCAACATGATATTATCACCTGAAGCCATTTCTGTCTATTTCCAAACAAAAGGTCAGAATGCTTTAAATAGACGTACCGCTGAAGTAATTTTGTTGCTGCAGCAGAGGCACGTAACGTTCGAAAAGAGAGAAACTCGATCTCTAATGTACAAGAAACCTGAAGCACACATGATATTTAATCCACGCCAAGACAAAAAGGGAACCTACGCAAACAAGACGTCAGATTTTAGGGAAGTAAACTCAGGAAAATGCGTGCGCAATTCAACGTCGGTCATTAGGGCAAAGGCAACTACTTGAGTGTCAGACTGAAAGGGGGGAGAGGAAAAAACCCGTGCGATTGAAAAGAGCAGATGTGGAGGCAGTTCCAGCCTTTTATCTGCTCCTTCAGTACATTGACTGGGTTAATTGAGTGAGGAATTCAAATGCGTCGCTCGACTCCAGGGGCCGTTGGCAGTGAATGGATGCTTCGCATAAATGCCTGCTGGCTCTCACTATCACTCCGGGCTCCTGACGCCACGCTTGCTCAATTCGTTTCTCGGTGTTAGCTCTGGTGTGCGCAACTACACCGCTGGCCTACTGACAGCTCGGTGTCAGAACTCGCAAGTCTGCAACAAATGGAAATGCCAAGCAAATCAAATGTGTTTGACATAAACGTGAAACGGTGATTTGCGAATGAGTTGGACACGGGTCCCAGACTTTAACTGGATTTATTGGTTATACTCCTACTGTATTTAGTAGAAACTGACCTAAAATATAGATAAATAGATACGTAGGTGATAGATACAACTGTGTAGGTGTGCATATATGTGTCAAACTTCAGGCCGGGGGGCCAAATGCGGCCCGCCAAGCCGTTCTGTGTGGCCGGTGAGAGCTTAAAAAACATTTAGTAAAACATTTCGTATTTTTTATTACACAGCAATAAAAAATATTTGTAGCTTGAATAAATAATAATCAATTGCAGAAACATGTATTAGTCTGTTATGGAGGAGCTACATCCATACCAGGGGTGCCCAAAGGACTGGTCAGCCAGTACCATCTGTTACTACAGACCAGTACCAAGGTGCTGAGCATTGAAGTATCATTAAAATTTCAAAATAAAACATCATTCAGGCTCTAGTCTGTTTGTATCAGAGTCTGAATGACCTATTAATTTATAATATTGCTATTACCTTTAAATAAGGAAAGTAAATGGATATGACTGGATTTTTTTAAGTAAGTAAATTAGTAAAAATAAAGTACTTCTTTTTTTCACCCTGTCCCACTGCGGCCCAGTACCAAATGACTTTTGGACTAGTACTGGTCCTCGTACCGGGGGGTGTGGACCCCTGATCTATACAGTCTTCCATTCACAACCGGCCCTTCAAGGGAGACTGTATTGCTGATGTGGCCCTCAGTGACAGCCCTGCGCTATACAGTATATGTAAATATATATATATATATACAGTAATGACTATACATTTTGAGTTATATTTTTGCATATTTTCGACATTAATTGTGATTAACTACGATCATAAGTAATCCTGTTCGATGTTGAGTAGTCCACAGCTACCCTAAAATCGATGCTCAGTAATCAGATTTAAAATTCTAAAAAGATTTTTACTTTTTTTTTATCAGGCACCAGACTAAGCAAGGACAGGCAGCCAAAGAAATCCATTAAATCAGTGTCTGCAGCTACAGTGAACATCTGAAGTGTTGCAGGACTGACACAATTCATAACCAATCCAATGTATCCCTCTGACCCATTTCTGGGTCACATCCTATTCTGATGTTCGGTATTGAGAAAGAGAAAAAGCTGTAAGTATTTGTAAAAAAAAAAAAAAAAGAATATATTTACAAAGACAAAGAAGAGAAGGAAGACAGGGTTGAGATGGGTTTGGGCCTGTTTCTGGCCATCATGTAAGCACAGGGGGACTTTGAGATGCTGTCAGTACTTCAGGCTACCCTGGAGCTCCGTGAGGGATATACACTAATTAAGAATGTGTCTGATGCTTGAAATATCCTCTGTGCGTCTGTTCTGGGAAGAGAGAGATAAAAGCAGGTCATATTTACATTGGTACTGACATGTTTCTCTCTATGCGTGACACAGAGATGGAACAGGAAGGACACGTCCCCCCGTCTCTAATTCAGTCACCACATATGACCCATTTCCTCTTAAATCATCTGTACTTTTCACTGAAGTTCTTTTGCACTTCTTGTTTTGTTCAGTCTGATATCATTTATATCGCATTTCATTACTCTACCAGAGATCAAAATACCTTCCTAGGCTATATATTTAAATGTCACTTGAATGTCATTTATCACTGTTTTTTTTTCATCTTCTTTCCCATGATATATTATTCATAACTCTGCAAGCAGTTACTCCACATCTACATATATTTTCATCCTGCCCCCTGCTGAGACTTGGGTTGATTTGAATAGAAGAGAACAGGGTTTGTTCAGAGATCAGCTCCCTTGGTTACTTTTAAAGCCAATCTTATCCTCATTTTAACTTAATTTGTGGCCTTGAGTTATAATGAAGCTGCCAATAGCGACATCACAGTATTTCATCACGTCGTTTAAAGCATTGTTGGTCTGTGAGAGAGTGAGTTTTGTCTCTACCAACAGCGTTGGTGTCCATTGCAGAGCTGGCACGATGTCCAGTCTTGAGTCACTGTCAAAAGAATTTATCACCTAACTGGCAATTTATACGCTCTGGCACAATAAATAAGTCGGTAAGAAAACCTGCGCCAAAGTTGTCACTGCTTCTCTATGACATTAAAAAAAACACCTCTGCTCTCCGCAACAAATTTAAGGTGGAAAATTGATCATTTAAGAGTTCTGTACCTTTCTCTTCCTCACTGGCAGTACCTTTTTTGGTTCTGCCAGTTCTTTCGTGCTGCGGTTCGTGTGGGAGCTGCAGCAGTGTTAGTCCACTGCTAGTCAACATCCAACATCCCTCTTGTGATTCATGGTTCGTCTGTTCTCTGAGTTAATAAGGAAACATAATAATTATAATGATGACGTAATTATCTGTGTACATGAATTAAGGCTTTGCTTTATCTTAAAATATCTTTAAAAAAAATCTAAAAATATTGAAATACAAAGATGTAGCATCACATAAATACACACAGGTTTTTTTGTGTTTTTTTTGTTTGTTTGTTTTTTAAAAAAAAAGCCAATTTAAATTTTCCAGGTAATTGAATGTTTAGGTGGAGTTAAATAAGCTGTGGTAGTGAACGGTCCTGCTGTGACGTTGCTTTTTTTTGGTGACGATTATTCACAACATGCAGCTGTGTGAAAACCAAAGACACAGCATCACATAGGCAGTAAGCCATCCACAGTCCCTGAGGTCGGTTTTAGCATAAAAATCTGTTTAGCGTTGCAGCTCTTAAACTCAGTCTTTATGGTAAATAGTGAAATTGTAGAAACTATTTCAGGCATGACAGAGACATCAACTGTCACTCCGTCTCTGATGATGGTGTTCAGGCACACTCTCATCCTACACTTTGGTTGGAGGTTTGAAAGAGGAGGGTTCAGTGGTTATTATCTTCTCTGACGCTGCCTGATCGTGCGTCTGCTTTCTCATCCTATTTTTACCAAGATAAAGTGGCAAAAAAACAACCCACTGCAGTCTTTCACTGCTGGTAAATATTTGATGCAGTTGGACTGCGGCTGTTTCTGCGCTCCGCTGGGATTTCTGTAGAACTAAAGCAGAAATCTAACTCATTTAAAATCACCCACCCTGTTTTCTGAACCTGCAGGTTTGGTCTGCGTGGTGTGTACGTGTGTGTGTGTGGCCACACATATTTTACTGAAGAAACATTAATGTCTGGTTTACTGAGACAAAAGGAGTCTCCAGACAGTTATTCTCAGTTATTAACCTCAGAGGCTACTTCATATTTATATTCCTTATCTGAATGAGAATCCTGAGCCGCTGAATGAAACTCTCCTCACAGCAGTTGTGTGGAATGAATGACATGGTTCTATAAGACGTAGGGTATGTTTGTTAGAAACTCTTATATTTAATATGTATTAAATGCCACATGGTACAGTAGAGGTTAGTGTTTTTGCCTTATGACAAGAAGGTCAGAGGTTCGATCCCCCCCACCACTCCCATACATGCAGAATTACATGTAGATATAGACTGAAATAGACACTAAAAGTAGTGATTCAGTCTAATATTTTTTTCCGTATAATAATAATACGTTTTTAAAATATTTTAACGCAACATGCATGAAAAATACCAGATCTGGAAGATTCTTTAACCAAGGTAGCCAAAAAGGTGACGGGTTAGAGATGAAGATTTTGAAGGGCGTGTCTACCGAAGGCTGCTTTTTGCTTATCACTTTGTGTTGGTTCCTAATATAGTTACACCTGGTAATGTGTAAAGATTGAGGGATGCAGAAGAAATGTATGTGGTTACAGGCCAAAAGTGTAAACTACTGCTGAATGTGCATAAACCTCAAGCTTCAAGGCAGTATTGTGGTTCTTTATACTGCTTTGAAGGATAAAGATAAGATATACCTCAAGCTTCAAGGCAGTATTGTGGTAGTACTTTATACTGCTTTGAGGGATAAAGATAAGATATAAAAAAAAAACTTCAATCTGATAAAGATAACAAAGAGAAATGTGGACCTTATTTCTTTTTTTTTAAATGTATAAAAACATTGTTTTTGTGTTTTTACAAAGCAAATTACAACAAAAACACCATACACTTAACATTATGAAATCTTCTGGCTGAGTCAACGTGCAGCCGTGCACATGTGGGGTGAAAAGGTAACATGTAAAATGAGAAAGTGAGGTTAGAGAAGTGAGGGAGCGATGGTGATGAAGAGTCAGTTCAGTTATTACTTAAAAAAAAACAGGTCTTTGCATAATTTGTTTAAAACATGAGAGCATGGGTTTTATTCTTATTCAACAACCATAAAACGATGTGTCAGACGAAAAGGAACAGCCATAAAAATGTTTTATATGCTGCGTGCAAGTTTGCAAAGTGTCTAATGTCGGGTCAGGGAGTGCAGCTGAAACTGTTTTTGAAAAACACCTCACAGATTCAAATACCTCATATCAGTAGTCTGTGGAGACAACGTCGTCATGAATGTTAAACACAGTAAATGTCCTGATGGGGACGTGCGAACACAGGTGTCCGATTCTTCCTCTGCTGGTGTTGACACTGCCGACGGCTGACAGGTCACTGCTGGTCAATGATGCGTGGCCATCTCTGCTTTTCTTTCTGTCTGTCTTTGTTTCTTTCATAGCGGTTGGTGTAATTGGATGGATTACGATAATAGTGCCCCCAGTGGGGAGCCTTGTATTTGGAACAAGAGCAAAATGTCACAAAAAAAAATTGGGTTCTTAGCAGATTTCCAATGTTGCACCTGGAGTCTTTTTTTTATTTTTTTTATTTTATCGTTTGTCAACAATAAGTATGTCGCTCTCCTTGACCTGCTGGTGGTGAGAAACATTCTGACGAACTACATACTAGGGATATCTGATAATACCGGCCTGATATGAAATAAATACATTTGTACTATATTAATCCCATATTTGGGAAATTGTGTTAGCAGCAGATATGCTGTTAATAGGCTGCGCAAGCGCCAAGCATGTGGTTCCTCTGGGAATCGAACCCAGGACCCTGCTTCTGAGGCAGGCGTGCTAATCTAATCTATTTTAATAATCAGGGTATTGTATGCAGAATGCTGGTGCCAGCAACTCATACAGTGGTTTGTCACCAATTTATGTTCGATCTGAAAAATGTTGACCAATATCGAACCGATACTTATCCTGAGTATTGGATCGGGCCATCCATAGTACATTTTCATCTCCGCTCAGTTGCATTGTGCAGTATGAGTTTCTTTACTGCCACCTACTGACTTTTTTCAGTATTTACATTCAGATACATTCACCGATTCAACAAAAAGGGAAAAAAGTCCTACATAATTGTGTATCTTTACCAATTGCTTCCATTTTTTGCTGTTCTTTCTCCACAGTTGTGTGAAACAGCTCTGGCTCATGGGTACCTACCGGTGGTTTTTAACCGTCGCAGTCACAACAACACACCCCTCACCACCGTGAGGCTGCAGCAGTTCGGTGATCCCGCCGATCTGCGTGAGGCTGTGCGCTACATCCGCTACAGACAGCCTGCGGGGAGACTGTACGCCGTGAGTGAGAGCAGCGGCTCAGGCCTCCTCCTCTCCTACCTGGGGGAGTGCGGCTCGTCCAGCTACGTGACGGCAGCCGTCTGCTTGTCTCCGGTGTTCCGCTGCCAGAGCTGGTTTGAGAGTGGGCTGTGCTGGCCGCTGCAGTGGGTGCTGGTGCTCTACCAGAGGATCTGCCTCAGCAGGTGAGGAACTGGTTAATGATCTGCATTTATGGCAATAGTTTTACATTAACTGTGAATCAGTGCTTATATTAAATGTTAAAGAGCTGCAAAGTGACTGGAAATTTTTCTGATCAAAAAATGTTTAAAAAAGAAAATTGTATTTATTTTTTAAATAACAAATTAATTAAAATATTTTTGACTTGTTTCCCAGGAAATAATATTAAATTGCTTTTGAATTTAATTTTTTTTTTTAAGTCTGCTAAACTATGTTATAGTAATATGGATCAGGGTAAGGAGGGTGGTTGGGATGGCAGTTATTTTTAGGTACATAAAAAAAAAGAAAACATACTTTGCAGTTCATGCATTATGTTGTGAAGTGAACCGTCAGACTAAGGCCTGGAGGTTATACAGACTAGCTAAGGCACCGTGACGAATTAGCAGCTACACCCGACTAATGACGGTAATAAAACGTGACTGGTTCTGGCAGTTTTGTAAAACTTTAACTGGAAACGTATGTCACTCTCACTCGCTTTTACAACAGTGCTCACCTTTGTGCACATGAATTTGAACGACTTTTAAAGTTCATTTTTGTTTTTTTATTAATATTCTGATTGTTTTCTGTCATTTAAATCGCCCTCTGATTTCAGTGTCCGTGACTTGGCGGTTTGTTTTGTTTGCTTTGTTAAAGTATGTAGGTGTTACACAGTGTGTGGTGCCGTAATTACCCTACAGAAGGGCAGTACAACATGCTTCACTGGCTTCTCTTAGCTGCTACGTTGCTGAGCAGAATACAGATTTGATCCCAGGTTTCATTTTTGAAATACCGGAATAGGATGGAGAGTGTGTTTTTGTAATATAAACCAAAGGAAGAAACAGACTACGAAATAAATCCTTCTATGGTGAGGGGTAGATCAATAACACTGCCTGACTTTTGTTTTCACACGCCTGGCTATCGTTTTTATTCCGTGATAACCTTGTCTTTTGCAGGATGCTGAATACATTTCTGAGCTGCGGCAGGCGCAGATGATTTCCCCACAGCAAGTGCTGAGATGCAGAAATAACAAGCCGTCAGGCTGCATAAATCAGCCGTCGAGCAGAATTAGCTGCAGCGGAGCCGGATTGAAGTAAAATACCGAGAAATATTTTACAACCTCATTCTTGTTGTACCAAGAAATACCTCCTACAGAACCGCTGGTTAACTTTATTGAACAGGTTGCTATTAGTGAGAAGTAACTGTAGCAACAGACTTGCTGCTGGAAGTCAGGTTTGTCGATTCAGGGAAAACGTCGTGACTTAGCTAAAGTTTCTTAAATTAGCATCGCTACCATGCAGCTTTCTTAGAATTGATTTACTTTGTTTTTGTCATATGTCTTTGTGCTGATGTGTGTGTGTAGGTACAGGACAGAGTGCTGGCTGAGTCCCTGCACAAAGATGCTGTGTTTTCCAGCTGCTCCTTGCGTGGACTGGAGGAGTCTTTGTTCTGTCAGACCGGACACGTCAACTCTGTACCAGGTGCGGCGTCTGGGACTAGCAGCAGCAGCAGTGGCTCCAACACTACAGTTAGCTGGGACGTTTACTGGGAACGTAACGAACCGCTCAGAGACGTGGACGAGGTGGCCATCCCTGTCCTGAGTGTGTGTGCCCAGGATGACCCGGTCCGTGGTGACACCCAGTCTACCGTACCAATGGAACTCTTTGAATCCAACCCACACTTTTTCCTCCTCCTGACTGACCTCGGAGGTCACTGTGGTTTCTCCACCCAGTCTGAAGTCAGCGCCGCCGGTGCATTCGGTGCCGTTGGTTGTGCAGCGGCACCGAACGGCGCGACACAGAGCAGCGGGACCAACTGGAGCCACAAAGCGCTGCTGGAATTCTTCAGGGCGACCACAGACTTCTTTGCCGCCGAGGAGCGAGCTAAGCAGCGCGCTGCCCGGAGGAGGGGGCTGGGGGGAGGTGCGTCGGGGAGGATTTTCCGCCACCGCAGCGTCAGTACGTGCAAAAGAGTGCCGGCGTGTTCCCATAACATCCATGCCATTTACAACTGGCAGCGTTCCTACACGCGGTAGAGGGGCTTAATGGAAGTTTAATGGAGTGACACACTGGGACATGAAGTGCACAGGCTGTTCTCTGGCTGCGTGACATGACGGTGTAATTCTCCCGGTCACTGAGATGAGGAAGGTAGCAGATGTCGTGAAGTAGTGAAGTGATGGCAGACTCTTCAGTCAGCCATAAAACACTAGACTGAATTAAAAACACAGCGAGTACCAGGTCCACATGACGCTGCCGTCGGTTCCAAAGTGTAGCGGTTAGTACGCCTGCCTCGGAAGCAGAGAGCAGAGAGTCCTGGGGTCGATTCCCAGAGGAATCACATGCTTGGCGCCTGCTGGCGGTAGCCTGTTGACACCAGATTTTGCTGTTAACACAAGAATTTTTCAAATTCCATATATATATATATATATATATATATATACGTATATATATATATACCTGTCATCGGAATGTGCTGGCTCTCTTCACTACCACAGGTTAAAACCCTAACTACTACCCTAGTACTATTTCTTACTACAGTTAAAATCAATAAAAATTGAAATAAATTTGCTTTTCCACTCCCTTCAATAGCCCAGTACCAGCCGCAGGGCTCGCTCCCCACTTTGGGAACCACCTGCCTAATGGCAGTGATCACAAATATAATTTTTAAACAATATTGCGCTTTTTTTTTTTTTGTATCCTAATTCAAATCCAAGCTAAATGTTGAACCTGAAATTGCGCTCTCACCTTCAAACTAGGCCCACAACAATGGTATTTTACCTTGGTCCCCACATGTATAGCTGTACAGAAACGCACACCCTCCGTTTTATTCAGCTACTGTTGTGGCTGTCTACATCCTACAGTGGTGTATTTGTATATTTGTACCAGGTTATTTAAGGTGTTGTTTCCTGTTTCCTGTTGTTGTTGTTTTCTCACTGAATTATATTTACTTTAAAGCAAAAACTACCAGTATTTTTGTGATGACGATATTAGAAAAAAAACACACGTTTTCAATTTCCTTGAGATCGATTTAGGAAAAGTAGTAATATCTCCAATATATGGGTCTCGTGAATAAAATAGTGAAGATAGTTTAAAGGATGTGTCGTCTAAAGTGCTATGATCAGCTGATAGTTCAGAGAATCTACTGGTTTGTTATTCCAGTTCAGTCACAGGGGGAGTTGGTGTTTTTTTTTTCTTTTTTTTTGTTTTGCTCATTTTTATTTATAAATCCACAGTTTTGTTTCAAATACACTGACCAACTACAGAGGTACAGTTTCAGTTCAGCTTCTGTCATTTGATTGCGTTAAATATCACACATGGGGCTTGACGTTCAGATAAATTCATGTAAATAATAATTGAAGTAAAACAGTTACATATTTAAATTATGGGGTTTTTTTTATTTTATAAACTTCCTTAGTCATGTGAATTTTAAAGGAAGAATTTAGAATTAATATTGGGCAAAAACATAATAAAAGTAATGCCTAATAAGTGATCAGTAATTATTATTGTTGTTTTTATTACTACTACTACTACTTTTGTATTTGCCATTTTGGATCAGATTTGCTTAACGCACTGCACCATAATTAGGAATCCTACATAATAGTAAACGCCACCTAGTGCTGCCACCTAGTGCTGCCACCTTGCTATCATTCAAGCATTAAAGCAGTGGTACACTTGTGCCAACGTGCCATATTCGAATGGAAGCCCCTCACCTCCCCCTTCCCCCCTCCCAAATCCCCCCGGCACCTCACCTCGCCCACCCCACTATTTGAAAAGTACTGCATTAGGGGGAACACCATAAAAATGGTAATTTGGTTTTGTTTTGATGTGTAAATAAGAATAGATTTAAAGCTGTACAATCTGTAAAAAAACAAACAAACAAAAAAAAAACAAAAAACTTGGTAAGTAACCAAGTTTTTTGTTTTTTTTTTTGTTTGTTATGACTAGTGGCAGAGTCTTGTACTGGCTCTGCAAAGAGAAGGAGGTGGAGATGAAGTTGCCGTTTTCTGCACACTGCTTATTAAATTCAGCCGCAACAGTCGGCCCCAGTGATCAGAGACAAATTGAATTTCAATGACCGTTTCTAAATTAACACAGCCGCCGACGTTTGCAGCATTTTGATTACACTAAATTGAAGGGTCTGCAAATTAAAGCACACGGCGTTTGATGGATTTGGTGGAGAAAAGCTTAGTTCACGCTAACCTTTAAAGCTTACCGCCGTTAATGTCAAAAGATAAATATCTACTGGTTGGTTTTGGAAAGAGAACGACTTCAGATGAAAAAAAAAATGTAATCTTACAAACAAAAGGGCATTTGTTTCAGTTGAAGAAATGTTTCATTTTTTTGTTTTGTTTTTTTGTTTGAAAAACACTGACCTTATTGTCTTGTTATTGGTTGAATGTTTTTAGCCTGGTGAACCGACTTCCTGGAGTCTCCTGTTGACACTTAGCAACCACACAATGACAACAGCCCCCAGAAAAGGTTTCTTCTTGCAGACGTGAATTATTTACACACAAAAAACAAGCCCATAAAACTACAATGTCTGCTTTTTTTCATGTTGGCTTTTCTCCAACTCAAACAAATGATACAGAGCACAGGACCATCTTTAGCCTGAAAGGCGCTGCAGAGCCAGGAAGTGGATCCACTTTTCCAGTCTTTAGATGGAAACAAAGCATTTTACAACGTCACATGTTTAGCACGTGAAAGAAATGTTTTTCACATACTGGTTTGTCAGGTGGTTGGTCACTGAAGGTTGACCACAGTAAAGCATAAGGAAGTTGTTTTTACTTTTTGCCTCTACTTTTTCCAACAGAACTTTAAATTCTCCACATCAGGAACCACCCTCCGACAATCAGGCAGTTATTCATACCTCGGGACGAATACTGTACTGTTCTGGAGTGACTCACACGGCCATTTAAGAAGTCCATTATCGGAGAAGGACCTTTAACCTTGAGTTAATGGTAGGTTCAAGCTTAACCCCATCAGTACCAGGACCCCAATACTAAAATATATCTTACTGGTTAGTTAGTAATGTCATTTCAAAAAGTCACTAGAGGCGCCATTTAGTACGAGGTTGCTACTCACAGGCAGCCACAGGAGGCACCCTTTAATACGAGGTTGCAACTCACAGGCTGCCTCATAGGTGGCGCCATTGGGAGTATGTGGGAATCAAACGAGGCAAAATGTTGGTGACCCCTGATCTAGACTATGGAACCTTCATTCTTGATTTACTCACTTTTGTTAGTTATATGTACTAATTCATTTTGTCTCTTTATTGTCATTCAAGCAGTACAACTAAGTACTATCACTATTACTATTACTACTATGACAACAAATAATAATGATATATATAAAACAGTTATAATAACTATTATAATCATTATTATATGATGGACATCAAGCATTATTATTATTATTATTATTATTATTGTTATCATTAGTAATTTTAGTATCATTGAAATAAGAACATAAGTACAAGGTAAGAATAGTTCAATCTCATGTGTTAAACATCTGTGTTTCTTTAACAGGACCCTGCTGCTTCAGCCCAGGAAACAGCTCTGGCTCCCTGACGTCACAAAGACCACAATCAGGCCTGATAAGGTTCCTTTGATCTTTCCTTCTGGAGCCGAACTGTCCGTACGGATAGTATATATTTAGCCATATATAAAGTCCAAAGTCCATACTGCATCCGATTGGAGAGTTCACTGAACTTGTTCTGTTAAATACCATTGGAAATAGAATCTATTTAAGTCAATCACTGCTAATCATAAAAAAAAAAAAAAACATTTTCACAAAATATTGGCCAATATTGCCCAGCTAGAGCGATACTGAAGAAGTAATTCTACGAACATAGTTATCGTCATTACTCAAATATTCCTGCATTTCTACGTTTTTTACTGACTAGTAAAAGTGACTGCAGCATAACTAAAGATTTGACCAAAAAAAATCAAAAAATGTTAAACTTAGTCTTGACAAATGGATGTTGAGGCTTGAGCATTTAAAATAAATATAATGACCGAAATAATTACAGTAGGCTGTGCTGACAGGATAATGATACTTTAAAAAAATAATTAACATTCAGGAAGTACAGACGTGTGGTTTCTCCGCTGTTGTATTTGATCCATTTTCTACTTTGGGCCAAAAATGCGTGTAATACTTGAGAGTTTTTACAGTCACTTCAGGGATATTTAACTAACAAAATGGATTATGTTATCGGAGTCTCTCTGGAGCCAAAACTATTAAAAAGTGATGTAAGACATGCTAACTGTGCTGGCCAACTATAATAAAAGACAGATGTTTAGCATCGGGTCATTGACAGTGTAGTTGTACTTGGATACAGGGACATGTGTGCTCGGTGCTGTGCTGTAGGTAAGGTGGTGGAAGTGGTGGTGTTTAAACAGGAGAACTTTTTTTTAGGTTCTGGTGTTTACATGTCAGAACAGCTGAAATAAAACAGCAGAGATGCTGTAGTGTGGGTGCTAACGCTAACATCCTCCTACGTGACATTCAACTCATTGTGCTCACTGTTCAACTTTATGTTAGGAAAGTAGAAGTTACACAGGTGATTAAATGTCACATTTATTGACAAGTCGCTGACACTTGGTTAAGTTTCAGAGAGGTTTCTTATCTATCTATCAATTGTAACATATTCAGATGTTTGTAATACATCTAATGGTGTCTTCAGGTAAATATGCCTAGTTTAATTAAGAGACAATTGAATACTAAATGAATTGCTTCATATTGTAAATTTATGTTAAGTACAAGTTGAAGCCAAACACAGGTTTTTCACCTTGTAACCGACAGTTGTTACTTGGATGTTTTAATATTTAGGGTCCTCCTTAATTTTTGGTTATAATTATCATAAACTTTTTTTTATTAGGAAGTAAATAGAAAATCAATCCCTAAAAGCTACTCGAGTCATTTAACGTGCTATCGCATGGTACGTTCACCATTGCTGCCACCTGGTGGAGCTTTTGGGTAAACGCGTTGACCTATAGGGTAACGCAAAAGGAAACACCCTATCTATAAACATTGTTTAATGCACTCTTTCTGATTTCTTTTCAAAACACAAATAAATTAAATTATTTTGCACTGTTATATTGTTGTTAAAATTATTACTAAATTAAATTATAAAGTTAAAAATGAATTCGTTTGAAGACGTTCAAACAAAAAACGTTTTACTTCATCTCTACATACAAAAGTTACCTTTTAAAGTATATCAATAATACCAGGATATGACCGTTTTTACAAACGACTCGTGAATCCGTTCAACCGTATTGATCGTTTCTTTCTCTTCTGCAACTGCATCCAGCAGATGGCAGCATCGCCAAGAGGTAGATACCTGGAACGTTGCACTCTCTCACTCCACATGGGGGGTTCGCTCTGCCCCCGCAGACACAATGACGCAGCTATCTCTGCCTTTGGCTTGGAAACTGTCTGTATATTTAGCACCTCGTTTAAACTCGGAGCTCAGTTCATGGGAATTAAATTTAGCCAGCAGTTTATAGTCATCTGCCGAGTCATACAAATTGGAGTCAGCGCACACGTCTGTTAACGCAGATGTCAAAACATTACAAAAACCAAATGACACACCGGTCAGACCGGGGTTTTCATTGATTGCACACTGATTCACGCATTAAAAACAAGTGTTTTACAAAAGTGACGTACGATATCCCATGACTCCACAGAAAGGAAACGTAATCATGCTCAACCGTTTACAGGTAAGTGATTAAACTGCAGCTCTCTAACATAATAAAACGGCGGGAAAACATTGTTTTAACGCTCATATCAGAACGGATTAACACTAATTCTAAAATGGAGAAACCTTCATATCCAGTACTGACATCACCGTAACTGTGACGACCTTGAATACAAAACACTAAAGTGGATAATGTGATGCCTCATGTATTTAAAATTGCAATATCATCTACATTCTTGAGGGAAGCTAAAATGAGGCCTTAACTTACCAAACCCTCAGAGCTGTATGTCTGCTCTTTTCAGAAGCACTCTGACGTGGTTTGTACACATGTCTATGTTTTTAACAAATACTTGTAATTCTAAAAACATTATTTTTTCATTATTATATTATTTTATTATTATTATTATTATTATTTTGCTATGTCAGCTTTATTCAACCCTTCTTGAGGTAGTTTAGTCCTAAATAATTTTTCAATAATTAACAGGGCCATATGTTGAAATAACTTAACACTATTGTTACCACCATTATTTAAAATAATTTTCATTTAAGATAATCCTGTGTCATTTTGGTCAGGGGTAAGAACCCGGAGACCCATGTACACACAGGAGGAACATGCACACTCTATACGAAGTATTTAAATAATTTTAGAAATTGTATGCATATGCAGAGGTAAAATAAATAAAGTTTTATTTTTAGGAATATTTATTTAAATGTACAACAGAGCAGCAACATGTTAAACAGCTCTGTATGTGAGCGTCTTGCTGTGCAAAAATGCTAACCGCTAACGATTTTACGAGCGTCTGCCTCATAACCTCCATTTACAAATGTAGGTATTTGAAGTCATTTCTTATTTATTTTAACATCTGCTGAAGTTGAATGGGGGGAAAAAATAATGAGTTCTGATGCCTGCACTGCAATTTTCCTGTCACTTACACCACAGGTGACGTATAAGTATCAGTCAGGCTGCAAGTATGTGTGGCTAACCTGCAGCGAATTCCTCAGCTGTCACATTACAACATGGGTTTTACTGGGTGTGGCTGCTCTGGGGTGCACGGAGAGCGGGTCAGCTTCTTCAGCTCACTGTGTTGGTGTCCTGATTGCTGGTCTTGGAGAGGTCAAAAGAAGGACACAAATTAGGGAACAAGAGGGTTAGAATTTAAGAGGGTCCTCATTACCTTGACAGGTTTGTGTGTGTGTGTGTGTGCTGTCAACATGCAGGTTCTGCTCACATGACATGTTGCATGTGTGTGCTTGTCCTCTCCCCTTGCTGACAGGAATCCACCTCTCCTGCAGGCTAAACAGAAGTCAGCTAACTGCACTAGGAGATGTAATGCAACATGACAGTTAGCCTGGTCTGCCCAACTGTCTCTGCACACGGTCCAAACTGCCCCGACAACTAGGACTGAAGCATCACTCAAGATTAGAGAGACAAGAACCAGGCCCACACCGGTGAAAAGCTGGAACAGCCAGGTCAGAATATTACGGTAATTATTAAATTATTAAAATCATTTAACTTTGAGCTATGTACTGTACTCCATTTTCCACGTTATTTTACTTAATTACTTGTTTTTAGCCCATATGAGCCAGCTTAAAAAAACCCACAACATTAATTTAACCATTGGAAGTGTCTTTGAAAAAATAGATTTAATCAAAATTGTAAAAATGAATGTATCATTTTCTGACTCCCTCTAATTATTAATTCTCACATTCCTCCTCTCTGCATGTCGTTGTTATCTTGGTTCGTCTCTGTGACTTTCTCCCCGTGCAACCTGTGGAGTCTGGTGCAAAGGAGTGTGATGTATGACAGAGCAGGCAGTGAACCAGGTCCAGGAAGCAGCAGGTGAGCTCACCAAGACCCAGCAGGGTTCATCTTTCCACTCTTCTGCCGCGACGAGGCCTGTGTAGTATGCCTCTGTTGTGTGAAGAGGAGTCAGTCATCTTATTTTCCTTTTATGTATCTCTCTGTCTTAGTCTTTTTTTATTCCTTATTGAGTATGAACTGGCAGAAAAGAAAAAGTAAAGACTCCACGTCTTGTTCCTGGCAGCTGATTCATTCTTGTTTTGCTGCAGTGCAGACTTACATAAGCAAACAGCTGAGAAGGAGCTGCTTCTCAAAAGGATAGGGTGATGCATTCTCTCAATTACAAATGCATTCTTCACCAACAGTCACTAGACACAGACACACTGTACCTGTTAACACAGCATCTTAAGGTGCTGCAGTGTGCACAGACAGGCTTCTGTTTTTGGCGTGGCTTTGAGTCAGAAACCACAAGTCAAATGAGAATAGATAAATGACACGGCATTTTTCTTTTTAATTGAGAAGGAGGGAAAAAAAATGTAGGAAGTTGGATCAGGAGGTTGAAGACAGAGACAAACCTCCAAAAATCTGAGGAAGGCGTATGACGGCAAAGCTTCGTGGAAAAATACCAGCTTTCTTCCTCGCTTTCTTTCCCAGTTCTCTCTCATCACAGTCCATTTGGCGGCCCTGCGGCACACCCACCACCTCCATACACCCACCCAACCTGGAGGTGGTGGAGGTGGCATCCTTCCCATTTTTCTCCTCTGCCCTCATTCTTTCATTCCACACATTCCTTTTCTCCCTCATACTGTATGTCTTCGCTTCCCTTTTCACGCTGCATGAAAGTTACACGTCCTCAAGGTGTCACTGTTTTTAATTTGCTGTCATCTGTTACACACACACACACACACACAGACAGTAAGATAAATCTCATGACTTTAAAAGACTTAAACCACATGTCAGCAGTACCGTAATGACTGGAATAGCACACTTTTATGTTTGAAAATGTGCCATTCTATATAGATAGACATAAAACGGTAACAAATGACATGAACGTGAGGACTAGGTCCTAACTACTGAATACTTGTCTATTTATAGAAGCAGGAAGTGACTCTCTGATGAGTCACTGCAACTTCCTTAAGAACTAACTGCAGTCTCAGTGCAATGTACATTCCATTAATTGCCCACTTACACCAGCCGTCCAAAAGCAAAATAAATAACAATTTGTTATTCCTTGTGCTGTACTTAATGGTACAGTAGAAGGAATGTCCACATATTCTTTTTTCCTTCAGAACGAGTTGTGATTCAGCAGTTATCTGCCATAGTCTGTTTAGTCACACTTTTCACAGAGATTTCTCAGTACAGTGGGTGTTTTTTTTCCCATCACTGCCTATAGTCAAACTGCAGGCAGACCAAAAAGAATCAGTGGTGCTTCTGTGAAGGAAGTCGAAGTCAAAGATAGACTATAACAGGACATGTGTTCTGATTAAATCAGTTTACTGAAAGGCAAAGTCAAACAGGTTAATGTATCAGGAAGTGTAGCTCAACAACACGTGTGTGTGTGTGTGTGTGTGTGTGTGTGACCAGTCTGTTGCCCAAACACACACAAGGAGATTGACATCAACTCCCCATTACACACTAAGTTAAAACCTAATGTTATTACTCTGATGAAATTACCAAGCTTTGAACAGGTCCCTTTATTAGTTACCAACATGAAAAAAACAACAGAAAGAATATTTAAAATACCAAAAACAGGTGAGTCAGAATTACTCAGAAATACCACTTAGCTACTTTTCGCTTGGTCTGAATGCATGTCCAGGCGCATCGCAAGGCCTGACCTGCCCATGTCTGGATCCGATGACACGGATAGACTTAGGGAAATAAAAGGGAAGGGGAGGGAGGTAGAGAAGGAGGAGAGGAAGGGAAAATGTGGGTCAGTGCAGTCAAAGCCCTGTCACATGTTCCAGTCAGCTGGAATCTGTCCTCCAGTCCAAACCAGAATGTTACGTAAGAAGTTATTGATCCATTAGAGAGCATGTTTGGGGGGAGCTGACGTGGGGGAGGGAAGTTATTCAGGCCTGAGGTCATTCTTGGTCCCCGCACTGCCACAATGTCACATGCTGTTACAGCATGCTAAGTAGATATGACATACAGTGCGGCAGTATCGCCGCAGGTGCTAAATGCCTGGCTCTGGGCGTTCCAGGGAGAATGGAATTGTGAGCTGAAGGACAACATTTGATTGGTAGTGTGGTGACAATTGCTGGACGTACTTGAATGTTACAAATGAAATGTATTTGTAATCGTTTTACACTAACATGGCTTCTTTTGGAGAACTCCTGTTGTAATAAGATGACCTTTCCATCAGAGGTCACTGTTTATACCCGTCGTTCACATCCGTTTGTTTCAGTCAGCCTGCATGCGATTTGTTGATTTATTTTTTTAAGTGAGGATTTTCTTTAATCTATGACTCAGGATTTTTATTGTGTGAATTTTAAATGTCTGACCAATAAGTTAGAAAACAATTCCAAGTCCAGCTCCAGCTGACTTGTCATTGCCGGGTCAGAGTTCCATGTCCACTGTGTTGAACCCAGGGTAATGAGTTGGAGAATATTATAACATCAGACCAAAGTACTACGTTACACCATGGAAAATCTGCCATAGCTGTAGTTCAGAGGTTTGCCCTGCTTGAATCATCCATGTGTTTTCCATCCTGACCCCAGCTACGTTACACATCACTGTACAGTAGATGGATCATGAGATTCCATGATTGTAGGAAGAATGATTTCTTTAATGGTTCCTCTGACAGCTTTCCTGGAATGAACTCGACGTGGAGTGATGACGAGACTGAGGGCAGCAGTTACAGTTCACTGACTGGAAGGAAAACACAAGCACGGTACTTTGGACCAATACGTAATCTACTGGAAACAGTATAACAGTCATGACTTTTATGCAAACATTTACCTTGAGTCACTGATGTTAAAACAATTATGTACTTTAAATGATAATCTAGTATTAATTATTAATTGTTCATTATTATTCCTTGTTTTCGGCAACATTTTAATTAAATCTTTAAATGTAATCAAATCAATATGTTAGTCAGTAGTCAAGCTCACCTTTAACACAGATGCCTGAAGGTCAGAGCACAGGGATTACAAAACCCACACATATTACACCCACATATAAATATGCTAGCAACTTTATTTGCATCTTTTTAAAATTGCTTAAAAACCCTAGCATTTAACTTGTTTTATGGTTAAATAATAATATATTCATTCAGACACAAGACATTTTAAATTCATAATAGCCTCAACCCTACTTCATGGCTTCAGCTGCAGGATTCCAACAGAAGAGTCTGAAGTGTTCAAAAATTTAAATTGTTGCACTGTTTGGTAACTTGCCTGTGGCGGAGCTGTCTAAACTTCCTTCTCTGTGTGTGCTAAGTGCTGTTTTTTTTCCTTATCCCAGATTATTAGCATAACTAATGTTTGAATTTCTGATTGAAGTTGTTAACTTATCCAGTTCGAGACGCCCTGTATGCAAACATTTCAGCTTTTCTCCGGCACTGGAACATAACAGTAAATACTTGGGGATTTCTTAGTGTTACCACACCGACAAACTTGCTAAACTACACTACAAACTTGCTAAACTACTACGCTACATTTGCTCCGGGAAAACACAGGGATATTAAATTGTTGTTAGAAATAGCATAAAATATATAAAACTTTTTTTTTAAAGTATCTAATCTGCTATTTGCTTTACTTCTACAGGGCTGCCAGACTGCTAACGTGGACAACCCCAAAAGATAAGTGTAGCTGCTAAGTGACCACTTAGCATTAAATTCTCTCTCAGTTCTCTTTGACTGTTTTCCCGATTCCATGAAGCCCTTCTAGGTCTTCTCATGTAAAAGAAGTGGGGGGAGCATTTAAAGGAAAAGGCACACAAACTGGGTGTTAAGAACAGGGTTGTTTCACAGGTGTTTAAAGAATCCAGCTGTGTTCAATCGCTTTCTTGTTGAGCCCCAAAAAATATTTTTAGACAACATAGAAACAATGTAAATTAACATGAAATTCAAATAACCACACCAAGCGATTCACACTGCAGGTTTTGAGACCAGCATATAACCTACTGAGTCTGGACATCGAACCCACAACACTCTTGGTGTAAGACAACTGCTCCACTACCCCCCTGATTACCATCTGTAGCACACTATGTGCCCTTTATGTAATGATAATTATTATCTTATCTCTTTTTTCAAAAACTTTTGATTTTGGAATAACCCTACAATGCACCTGCTTAAGCTACGCAAAAACCCAATATCTAGACTACATTAGAACAAAGACAGTTCTACACTTGGACTGCAAGATAATGTGGGTCACTCAATGTATAACAGAGCTGACAGGGCAAATTACCATCAGCGTAATCTTTGAACCACTGTCAGCAGGCCACAGTTGACTGAAAGAGGTTGTTAATGTAGGAAATAGCTTACGGTTAATGGACAAAACATTGGCTCCTTTGATTATTCAATCACTAATCGTGTATTGTTTAGGTGTTTATATACAGAGCAGGTCATTTTTAACAAAATATTTGTTAACCTGGCCTAGTTACTAACCCAGAGTTCTGGGAATGCAGATAACCTTTGACCTCCAGCTGTAGTTTAAATGTATCATAAAACAGCTTAGAAGCTGTTTCTTGTGAAACTGTCACAGTAAAAACCAAGGAACAGGTTCCGGCCTGAGATGCAGAATTTTCAGAAAGGAGAGTGAAGTACTTGTCATTGTGACGCAGCACACCACTGCACACAACCAAATGTGACCTCTGGTTTTAACCCATCACCAAAGTGAACAGTGGGCAGCTTCAGCACATGGGGAGCAGTGTGTGGGGACAGTGCCATGCTCAGAGCACCTCAGTGGTAACTTGCAAGCTGGTGGACTCAAACCTGAAACCCTGCGGCCCCAAGTCAGCTTCCTGAACCACCCGGCCACCACTGCCCCTTGTGTCTACACCACAGAAAGCAGAAATAAAAAGTGTTATCACAACGTTTTATAGTGTCAGAAAGTTTGCAGAGATCCAAATGGGACACATAAAACAATGAAAGATTTCAAGACAGTGGCAGAAGAGTGAGTATGTGCTGGAAGAACTTCAGTCTGAAATTGAAATGTCACAATGTATAGTCATTGGAGTCCGGCGCCAATGAACTGTGACAGAGCAGAAGGAGAAAAATGAACTTTTGCTTTTGTAGAGAGACCTCCAGGCCTGACTGAAATATGATAAGGACGATCTGGAGGAGGAAGTTAAAACTGCACTGGAGGTTGACTAAAGAAAATTTGATATATCTGGAAATGTGCCCAATTAGTATTGAGATCTGGGGTAATATATTAGTAAGTGGAATCATTCTGTATGAATAACAAATATGTGTTGCGTGAATGTAGTCACTAAACATTAGTAAATGTTTTGCTGTTAATGAGGAATACATTTAAGCTAATTTCTAATTTCTATTCATTTTACTCTTTTTTACAGACTGTAAGAACATCGAAACTACAAGGTAACATATGAGACGTGTTTCATTATGTTTTAAATTTTCTTTTCAAACTATTAATCTATCTCTAGTATTGAGACACAAAATTCTTTTGTATTTACTTATTTATTTATTATTATCTCTGATGCTGCAGAGCAGGGGTTCCTAAACTTTCTATACTCTGCACCACCTACCACCTATTAGCTTCCACCACACAGGAGAGATGTTTATAAAGATGTTTATGTTTAAATTGTTGTATTAAATGTGCATGGTATGTTTCAGATTTATTCAATTGAAAATGTAAATTTTCCCCTCGTACCACCTGTGGTACATGTACCACAGTTTGAGAACCACTGCTGTAGATATGGCTGTTCAATAACTGCGACGTGAACAAATTAATTGCGTTAATTGTGTGACATTTTGATGATCCCATCATCATTATCCAGTTTCCTTTTCATTGTCATGTTAAAATAAATGGAACGCTGTCTTTCAGATGCCACACCTGACACTCACTTATAGAGAGTGACAGTATGTAACGCTGCAAGTTTGGTTAAACCACTAATTAAATAATTCGTTTTTGTTGAACTACTCTAAAATATTTAAAATATTTGTTATCTAAATTGTATGCTGCCAAAACGCAATGACAAGACAAATGAAAACAAAAAACAAACCAGGAAGGATGTAGTTTATTTTAGAAAAAAAGAAATTACTGCGCAACAACACAGTAATCACTGTCAGTTGAAGGATTTTTTTGTGATTGATGACAGGAAATTGCTATTACCTCTAAGTGTAAAATGAAACTACTAATTCAACACTCATTTTTGTGCACCCAGCAAAAGGTTCTTTCCTGTCAACAAAAGTGCAACAACCTTTGGTTTGGAAGCATCGGATCGGCTAACACCTATGGTGAGTATTGCTTATAAAAGTGATATTTCACTCTCGAAATACTCCAGTTCTGAGATACTTAAACACTGCACTGGTTGTGAATGACTTTTATAAGTCAGCTGTTTGGATAAGATAGAAATGAAACGTCTATTTAAGAGTTCGGTACCTTTCCTAATTTTTTTATTTTGGCGACTTCCAGTTCCATGTATATATTCACTTTAAAAATAACAATTATGTTAAGACTTTAACTGTGTCTTTTACACAACACCCTTAAAAATTAGTTAATTTTGCATCGGCTGTGTCAAACACAGAGGACAAAGACTGTTGTTGTGCGTTCTTGTGATGAAGATTTCCACATTTTTAATCAATTTTTGTCACTTGAAGTTTCTGGAGAGTTGTTCTTCTGCCCGAGGTGTTGATCAGTTTAGGGGAGAAAACAAAAGAAAAGTGTGTGTGAAGAGAATTTTTGACAAAAGCGTCATGTCAAAAGCTGTTGGTTGTTTATTAAGATAACATTGGTTAATTCGCATTTCCCGGTAATCAGGACTTGCTTGTAAATAGGATTTCCCGAGTGGGGAGAGATGGGTGTAGTCCTTGAATGGACTCTGCTTGCACTTTACCAACAACCAGGCAGAACAACCTGGGCCACATACTTTCATGATCTGAACAAGAGGCAGGGAGTCAACACTTGGCCTGGTTTGAGGAGTGCATATTTCAGCTTCCTTTGTAGGGCTGCGAGCGGAGCACGCGCAAACACACACATGCACTCTCTCACACACACACAAACACACACATATACTGGCCCTTTAAATCTCTGCAAAGTGTCATCTCACACGCACCCAACTTTGCTGAGTCACTGGGTTCAGGCTGCTTTTGTAACCTCCACCCAGCAGGACTTCTCATTGGCTTCGGTCTCTACAGAGCAATCCACTGGTTGGCTGCCAGCACTACTAATCAGTTTCCTTTTGCCTTCTTAAAGTGACAGAGGTGTTTCCCCTGATTCCCCAGAGGCAGAGGTCTAAATCTGGGTGGACCAGGTCCCTGAGGTATTTTAGAGAGAGAGAGAGACAGAGAGAGAGAGAGAGTTTAAGGAAATAATCACTGAAGAGTCAAAAACAGCTCCAAAAAATGTTCTTAAAACAGCACTTTTTCCACTACATTTTACCAGACACGGATTTTATTCATTTAATTTAGAACTGGAATTGAATGGGTCACTAATGGGTCAGAATCAAATACCCAGTGTATTTGCTCTAATCTTTGCCTGTTCCTTTAAGGTCATAGTTGTATTTACTAAATCAGCATGTCAAAACAATGGAAAATGTAGTTCACCAGCTTTATAGCAACAACATTGCGAGTCTGATCCCCGCTAGTTGTGTGTAGAGTTTTAACGATCTCCCCCAGAGTGTACGTAGGTTTCCTCTGGGTATTTTGTTTTCATCCCACAATGAACAAGCGTACAGATTACGGATTAGCATGATCAGACAGACTAAAATAAAACAGGTTAAATTAACCATAGTGAGTGTGAATGGTATGTGAATGCTGTGCTTCTGGGATTGGCTCCATCTTCCTCCAAATGCTGAAAGGGATTAAGAAATTGAAAATGAAATGAATGGAAAAACACATCCTGCTAGATTTGTTTTTGTGGCAGAGAAAACACATGACATTTGCATTGACGCTTGACAACTGGATTTTAAGGTTCGTGTTTGTCCAAAAAAAAAAAACACTCATTTGTTATTGTTTTTCTGTTGTTCACCGAGAAAAGCAGTTTTGTTGATGTCTTAAATGAAGGGGGCAGTGGTGGCTTAGTGGTTAAGAAAATGGACCTGGGTCCAGATGGTTTCAGGTTAGAGTCCACCAGCTGCCCAGCTCCCCACACACTGCTCCCCGGGCGTTTAAAGCTGCCCCCTGCTCACTATGGTGATGGGTTAAAAACAGAGGTCACATTTCGTTGTGTGCAGTGGTGTGCTGTGTCATAATGGCAAGTAGTTCACATTCCTTCGGCTACGTTTTAAGACAGAACCTCCACGATAGTCCCTGAACTGCCTGAGTTTTCAATGTTCTACATCCCCTACATGATTGAACTGCGCCTCCACATACTCTAATACCTTCATCCTGTGACCAGATTGGTTCTGTAGTATATTTCAGCTATGTGTCGGTTTGAACACTGAGTCATGGCTCCGGGCTCTCAGTTTCATCTGTCAAAGTCGGTCTAAGTCACTGGAGACAGAAGAAAAAGTGTTAAAGTGTGTGCAGTGTGTTCTTGCACGGTGGCTTTGCAGAGTACCTGGCTTGAATAGTTTCCAGATTGCTCATTACCTGGCAGAAGTGCCACTGCATCTTGGAATCTATTTAAGGTAGGTCTTTCCTACGAGCAAGGACGAGAGGGAAATAATGGCGAGACTGGAGATAAGGAAATGAGCACGGGACAATAGGATAAAGTACTTGGAAGTGAAGTGGAAACGGGCTGCTGCAACTAACACAGGGAACTGTGAATCAGAACTATTTTTTCTACTATCAGCTGTGTGTTACATGAGCCAAGGGGAAGAGGAAAAATATTTTGTTTTCACAAAATGTCACGCACAGTCTCTGGCATGTGTAGCCCGCAATGCTATGAATGTAGACTTGGTGTGTTCTGAACAAAAACAACACTTTAAGGCGACAATATAACCTGCTATCTTTGAAGTGGGTTTGACAATAATTTATATTTATATAAATTATATAATTATATATTATTATTTTATATTTACTATCATGCAAACCCCGTTTCCAGCAAAACGTGAGAAAAAAAAATTGGCAGTAATCAAAAAGTTTCAAAACTAGAACTGGTTCTAGAAATGTAATTTGAGCGTCTTGAATTGCGTTTTGAAAAAATGCAAAAGTCGGTAAAAGTCGGCACAAGTCACTATTCTGTAAATAGTGACTGCTACTCAGTTACAGCACCAATAGTTATGACTGAAACACAGTCCCATTTATATGGCATATACAGTATATTTACATAGGTATATGGACATAGATGACATTCATGTCACTTCACATGTGTGGATTTATGAGCCCATTAGCATCGATATTTCTACTGCCAGTATACAATCTGACATGTGTTTGTGTGGGAACACACCATTCACAACATATTTACTTGATGGCACTTCCTGTCCCGCTGTGTTTGAGCCAACGGACACAAAGAAAAGAGGAAAAAACAGGTTTCAGTTTGGTCATGAAGGAAACGGCCACCTGACAATGCAGGCGGAGAACATGCAGGAGAACAGACGGGAGGTGGAAGGATTGTTTTCCTGCACGGCGTAGGCCTGTGGCGCATTCCTGTCCGGCTTGAATGCATCAACATAAATTGAGGGTGAGGATAAAAGCTGTGTCACTGTGCTGAGGAGCCATTGTGTTTCTGCCTGGATGAAATATGCCGGGACAAAAGAGTTGGCAGGTTTGTTGCCTTTGATCTGTGGAACTTCACTTTGTCTGTGTCACAGCCAAAAGCTGGTCACACAAGTGTGTGTGTGTGTGTGTGTAGGGGTCAAAAATAAAGTGTTCAATTCTAGTCAGACTTCATATGTAAAAGCAATTAGAAAGATGGACAAACATCTCCTCTAGATCCTGTACCAATAACAAAACATATTTATCATTTACCGTTGAATCTAAGGCTGCGTGTCCGTGGACAAGGGCTCCTAAATTGGTACTCACATACAGCACGTCATTCGCCAGAGTTGCCAAACATGTGGCCCGCGGGCCTAAAGTAGTAGTAGGTGTTTAAAAGTTAGGGTGTTGAATCTGGCCCGATGGATACACAAATTAATTAGTAAAACTGAAGTACATTTTTTTACTGCGTCCTACTGTGGAACCAAATGACCTACGGTTGGCACCCAACCCAGGGGTTGAGGACACATGGTATACAGTACTTGTTGTTACAGAATACCGTTACAGACTCTTAAGTTGGTAACAATAACAATAGAAGGCAGTGGTCTAAATGTATGTATAAAACAAAAAGTCTTGAAACTATTGTCATGTTAGAAAATAGAAACTAGAAAAGCAACTAATGAGAACAAGCAACTTTGTATCAGTTCCCACCTGGTATTGCACCAGTGATCTTTTTACTATCACAGTAGGTTCTTCCACTATGTTTGTCCTAGAGTGTATGTCTCTGCAAATGCAAATCTAGTTGCCCTATATCAGGGTAGAATTTCATTAGAAATCATATCACACTTTGTTCTTCCCATACCTACACTGCAGTGGCTTGGAACCCTTTACTTGTATTAAATAATGCAGCATTGATCACCGCTTGGACTGGACCTTCCATATGTCCTCATTGTCCGCCTGCTTTTCTTCCTGAACAGTAGCGGCAGACAGTTCTAACAAACCTTCCCATAATGCATTATTATTTTCACCTCCAGTCTGACTTCCATGGCAGACGAACCAGCGTTTAATAATTTCCTACCGTTTTAACAGGGAGAGAGCAGGACTCTCCGTTCTCTGTTCCAAATGTGGGATTAAAGTGACTTCAGCCTGCAAGCCTCCAATTGAGGTTTCCGTCCACGAGAAGCAGAATCACTTATTTGG